CCACCAGGTCTGTTTTTAAAGTAGCATTTCTTTCTCCAAACTGCACCTATGAAAACAATACACAGTTCACCTTTCTGGCAATGCTCTCACTGGTCTGTCCTTTGCTGCTGACATTTCCCTCACTGCTGAGCCAGGCCTGTATCTTCAGCATAACCAGGCCATAGCCCATTTATTTCCATCCATGTTCTTATGAGGTCCTGGGCCAGAGAAATTATACTCCAGTCCTGTTTTCTTAAACTCGAGTTCTGCCTCTACCTCCCCGATAAAGAGTGCCCTGTCACTCCAGGCTATATCCTTTTCTGATTTTTTTGGTTTTGTTTTGGGTGTTTTGTTTGTTTTGAGACAGGGTTTCGTTGTGTAGCCTTGGCTTTCCTGGAACTCTCTCTGTAGGCCAGGCTGGCCTCGAACATCCAGAGATCCACTTGCCTCTGCCTCCCAAGTGCTGGGATTAAAGGCAGTCACCATCACCCTGCTCCTTTTCTGATTTTGAGTAGAGCTCTTTAGAAATATCTCTAGGTGCTAGAAACTGCCTGAGAAAAGCACAAGGACAGGGCAGGAAGGCACTCTATACCCTTACATTTGGTTTCATCACAGACTATAGTACCTTTTTTCCATTTTTAATTCTTATTTCATTTTACATTCCAACTACAATTCTCCCTCCCACCCCCTCAATTCCTCCCACCCACCATCTCCCCTCTAGCCCACCCTGTCAACTCCTCCTCACGGGTAAGGGCTCCCATGAAGAGTCAACACAGTCCTGGCACAATATGTTGGGGCAGGGCCAGGCCCCTCCTCCCATGCATTCAGACTGAGCATGGTATCCCACCATAAGGAATGGGCTCCAACAAGGTAGCTCATGTACCAGATTTGTATCTTGTTCCTACTGCCAGGGTCCTTCTGATAGTCCAAGCTTCACAGCTGTCTCCCACATACAGAGGGCCTCATCTGGGCCTCTGGATTCTCCCCAGTTGTAGGTCTAGAGTTCTTGAGTTTCCACAAGCTTGGTTCAGCTGTCTCTGTAGATTTCTCCATCATGATCTTGACCTCCTTGCTCATATGTTCCCTCCTCCCTCTCATCAACTGGATTCCTAGAGCTTGACCTGGTTCTTGGTTGTGGATCTCTGCATCTGACTCCATCAGTTTTTAGATGAGAGCTCTATGAGGATAGTTGAGGTATTCATCAGTCTGGTTACAGGGGTAGGCCAGTTCAGGCATCCTCTCTACTACTGCTAGGAGAGCATAATACTTTTTTTTTTAATGGAGTATGTATAGCCCACGTTGATGTCAAACTCAATATTTTGCTTTCAGCCAGGCATGGTGATATATGCATGGTGATATAGGTGAGGGAGCTGAGGCAGAAGGATGACTGAGACTGAACCTGTCCTAGGCTGTATGGCAAGATACTGCCTCAAAACATAGAAGAAAAAAAAATCTTGCCTCAACACCTTGCCCCATTCCTGCTGGGATTACAGCAGGTAAGCAACGCCATACCCAGCTTCATGCAATGCTTCTTTTTAAAAAATTTAGACGCGATATCCGGTATCCCATTGTCCCAGAGCACTGCCCTCCAAGTGTAACAGCCATCATCGTCATCAGAGCAGTTGTGACTACTTGTAAGGAACCAGATCTGGCTTGTTGACTGTTGCTGTTCCCTCATAGAAAAAGAGAGTAGGGAGGATTGGAGATACCAGCAACTCCTTCCTGCACCTCCCAGCCATTTGAATGCATTTCTCCTCTAACTGCATGTGGCCTCAGTTCTCAGGAGGGGCAGAGCACATGGAGTGTAGATTGACTCCATCGATGCAGCTATAAGGAAACTGTTGTCCATGCTGGAGTGTGATTTTCCAGTGGTGCAGCTGTTTTAGGGTCACCCACCTCTGTAACCCTCACCCATGCTCTGTAAATAAATTCAATAAATGCGTTGGTTCCTACTTTCATTTGTTGTCTGCGCTCTATAAAGATTGAGTAGATGTTTGTTTACTTCCGCTCAGGGAAAGAGTTCCCAGATTCCTATAGTCCTTAATTTATATTTAAAAAGCGTATAGATGTTTCACCTGCATATATGTCTGTGCACCACATATGTTCCTGGAGCTCACAGAAGCCAGAATAGAGTAGGTGCCCTGGAATTAGAATAACTCTTGTGAGCAACCATGTGAATGTCCCAGTCCTCTTAATTGCTGAACCATCTCTATAGTCCCCCAGAATACTTTTATCAGTCCAAATACTTCTAATTGTGATCAACAGAAGCTGGTTGACCAGCCAAGAATGAGCAACTTCTGGAAAGAACCTGGAATCATTCACAGACTCAGAGGTGCAGTTGAACTAACCCAGGCTACAGAGAGAATCGCCTCTGATCCCTGCTCCCTTCTCTGTGTTGGGTTTCCTTTCCAAACTTATTCCAATTACAACTCAGCTCTGCTCCGCTCTGCTATGAGAGTTTCCAGCAGAGATGCCTTTTGCTTTTCTGTTTTCAGGGTCAGGGTGTGTTTCTTTAGCTGGTCCTTTTATCCTACAGTTTTCCTATAGGGAGGGAAGTTCTGTGCCAGGGGAAGAGAGGCATGCCAGGCTGATGATATAAATGGGGCTCCACAGCATACACACAGCAGCGGAGTCACCTTGAGCCAAGGTATGTTCAGTCTAGTAGTTTTTTTTGGGGGGGGGATGAGAAAGGGTTTCTCTGTGACCTCGAACTCACAGACCAGCCTGCCTCTGCCTCCCAAGTGCTGGGATTAAAGGCATGAGCCACCAATGCCACCAGTCTAGTATTTTTACTGACCTGGAAAATCACGGTGCTCATCCTGTGGAGAATAGCAGGTTAGCAGGGATGACTGAACAGGACAGGTCTCAATGAAGGAGGATTAGGCCATTGTCTATAAACTTACTTGAATTAAAAAAAATGTAGGCTGGGCAGTGGTGATGCACGCCTTTAATCCCAGCACTCAGGAGGCAGAGGCAGGAGGATCTCTATAAATTCATGGTCAGCCTGGTCTCCAGGATAGCCAGGACTATGTAGAGAGATGCTGTTTCAAAATTAAAAATGTAATATATATGTGAATCCTACAAACCATGTACAAAAATGAAAATTTTAAGGGCTAGAGATATTTTAAAAGCATCATTTTAAACTTAAAATTGTATTATCTTATAGTACTTACCTGTAATCCCAGTCATCAAAAGGCAGAGTCAGGAGGATTAGGAGTTAAAGGCCACACCACCTCCACCACCACCACCAAAGTGCTATGCATGGCTTGCAGGTTATCATAGCTACTGTCCAGGTGGTTGGTTGTCCTCTTATGGTGTAGTTAATAAACTATTCTTCAAAAAAAATACAATTAATTTTTGTTTGTGTTGCAGAGATTTTTCTGTTAGTGGCTAATATCAAAGTCAATCTTGGGTATATGTGTAGTGCCCATACTCTACAGATGTAGAGGTGGCAGACACAAGTCCAAGCAGCCACCCTGATTTTTCCAGAGGCATGTGTCCACATCTGAATGTCAGTAGGAAGGAGCAAATGTAGTTTCTGAGAGATACTTAACAAAGTGACATTTTGGGGCTGGAGAGATGACTCAGAGGTTAAGAGCACGGACTGCTCTTCATAGGTCCTGAGTTGAATTCCCAGCAACCACATGGTGGCTCACAATTACCTTGAATGGGATCTGGTGCCCTCTTCTGGTGTGCAGATATACATGAAAGCAGAATGTTGTATCCGTAATAAATAAATAAAATCTTAAAAAAAAAAAAACAAAGTGACATTTTTCTTGGTGGGTTCCTATCAGTACAAGGCTTTGCTCTTGCAAATATAGAAGCAGAAGCCAGAAATTTTGTTATTGAGTGCATGCTCTATGCCAGGCACACAGCTTCCACAAACACTACACATGAATTGCTTTATATTCTCAGTGGGAAGATAAAGGTAGCAAATAGAGAGCATAAGCCACACCATCTAAATGTTTATTTATTTTTATGTGTATATTTGTGTGTCTACATGAGTATATGTGTATCACATGTATGTAAAAGGCCTCAGAGGCCACAAGAGGATGTCAGATCTCCCAGAACTGGCATTACAAGTGGTTGTGAGCCACCATGTATGTGCTGGGAACTGAACCAGATAGCTCTCCAGCCTTTGCACCTTTAAAAAAATAACTGAATATTTTGAAATTGGGTTTTACCAGGCAACCATGGCTAATCTGAAAAATCACAGAAATTCACCTGCCTCTGCCTCCCATTCAGTTCTCCCCACTTACCCCTCCCATCTGCTCCTCAGAGAGGGTAAGGCCTCCCCTAGGAAGTCTACTAAGTCTGACCCATCATCTCACTGAGGCAGGACCAAGGCACCTCTCCTCCCCCACAACCCTGTGTCTAGGCTGGGCAAGATATCTCTCCATATAGAATGGGCTCCGCTAAGTCAGTTTGTGCATTAGAGTTAAACCTTGGACACAACAAATAGATTTTTAAAGAGATAAGGCGAAAAGCAGAGAAAAGAATTAGGGGTCCAGAGATCTCAAATCTGTCTTTGCAATACTAACAGGTTGCTTCGGCTTATATAGAATTGGAACAAAGGGTAAGAAAGCATGCATAATTATGCAGTCCTGGTCAATATATGATCTAGCCGAGCGTTGTTCCCAGCTCCGATTCTGCAAAGTGGTTGGAAGAAGTCCTTATTGCTGCCACCGAATTGCTTGAGAGGATCCATCTGGCTCCTGCAGAGTGCAGCTTCACACTTTCAGGGGTGACTACCCTTATCTGAGAGGTCATCTGTTCCTTCAATATTCTACTCTTTCTGGGACCCAAAGCAACTTCAGGTTTGGGACAGTGACTTATGTCTGTGCCTTCGGGAAACAGAGGACAAGGGAGAAGGGGAAAGGAAGGGGGGATGGGGTAAGCGCCCTGCTCTTGCTTTGGGGAGCCCTCGAGCCGGCGCCCGGAGCTGCTGTTCACCTTCCCGGCGCACCGGGGCGCAATAGCGAGGCCGCGTCGTGGGAGGAGCGGCCGCGGCTCTTCTTGGCTCGGGGAGGGGACGTTCCCAGAATGCACCTTGTATCAACACGGCGGCGGTGGCGGCCTCCCGAAGTCCAGGCGTTTGGCCGAGCGGCGCACGTCCCCAGCACTCTCCCTCCCCTCGGTGTTGCGGAGCGG